GAGAGTCCAGAGAAGAGCCACGCGCATGATCAGAGGTCAGGAAAACAGACCTTACAACAACAGGCTGAGAGTTATGGGGCTCTTTAGCCTGGAAAAGCGCAGGCTCAGGGGTGATCTGATGGCCACCTATAAGTTTATCAGGGGTGACCACCAGTATCTGGGGGAACGTTTGTTCACCAGAGCGCCCCAAGGGATGGCGAGGTCGAACGGTTATAAACTACTGCAAGACCATTTCAGGCTGGACATAAGGAAGAATTTCTTTACTGTCCGAGCCCCCAAGGTCTGGAATAGCCTGCCATCGGAGGTGGTTTAAGCACCTACAGTGAACACCTCCAAGAGTAAATTAGTAGCTTATCTTGCTGGGATCCTATGACCCCAATTGACTTCCTGCCCTTCGGGCGGGGGGGCTGGACTCGATGACCTTCCAAGGTCCCTTCCAGCCCTAATGTCTATGAAATCTATGATACATCGGTCCAATATTGGATCAGTACTAATATAACAAAAACTGGCTGTATTGGGGGGGTGGGGGCTGCGAAGGCAGCTCCTGCTGCTGCTTGCACCCTGGGAGGGTGTGGGGTGAGGGGCATTGTCCCCCCCGGATCTGCACAGGGCAAGCTGAAGCAGGGGCTACATGGGGCTCTTCTTGGTAGGGGCTGGGCTTGGAGTGGGTGCCGGCGGTACTGGGAGGATGCTGCATCCATGTCAGATTTCACTGCCACTCCACTCCCAGCACTGCCGCCACCAGCTGCCCTACGCAGCCCCTCCTCTTCCCAGCATATGGGTGGAGGCGGGGCGTTGAGTCGGAGCTGCAGCTGGCGGTGGCAGGACTGGGAGTGGAGCAGTGGCAAAATTTGGGGTGGATGCAGCATTCTCCCAGCATCGCCTACCTCCTCCCAGGGTTGTGAGCAGTGGTGGGAGCCGCCTCTCCCAACCAGCCACTGCTCCAGCCCCCCTCCCTCCGCCGCCCCGCCTGGGCGGCGCCAGCCCTTGCCCCCTCCCTCACTGTGGGGGTTGTTTATCTGCCCCACCTGTGCTCCTTCCCTCCCCACTCCCCTTCCACCACACTGGACTTACCAGCTGGAGGCAGCTGTATTGGAAATCAGATTGGTATCAGCCAATATGCCTCCTTAAATATTGGCTATCTGTATTGACCCCAAAAATCTATCAGTGCACCCCTACCTGCCAGCCCCAGGTGCACAGCAGGGCTGAGGTGACATGACAGCTAGGCTTGCTTCCCGGCACACCTGCAGCAGCGGCTCCTTCCAGCTGCTGCTGGTGTCGCCACCCCCAGACCGACTGCCCAGGCACACCCTGGTCCATCTACCCTACATCCACTGCCAGGGGCACTGGACAGAGTGGGCAGGCATGTACCCACACAGGCAGGGCACACTTGACTGGGCAGATGGGATGGGACCGTGGGCAGGCAGGGAGCAGCCTCCAGGACTGGAACGGGTGGGTGGGGGCAGGACCAGGGCTGGGATGAGGATCATGGGGCTGGGGCCTGGGGCAGAGCCATGATCCACTGCCCACACATCCCTGCAATGGGCACCGGTTGCACAGGCAGGTGCATGTTGGGAGCAGATCGCAGCTCTGCCCCAGGCCCTGGCCCCACGCTGTCAAGGCTCTGTGATTCCAATCCCAGCCCTGAACCTGGCCCTGCCCATCCATCCTGCTCATGGACGCTGCTTGCCGTCTACCCGCAGTCCTGTCCCATTTGCCCAGCTGAGCGTGCCCTGCCTATGCAGGTCCTGGGCCAGTCTCCATGGAGACCCTGGGATAGCGGGGCAATGACAGCACAGGGCTGAAGCTCAGGGCAGAGCCGCGATCTGCTCCTTGCACTCCCCTGTGGAACTGGTGCTCATCACCTGCAGGGAGCAGGTCGTGGCTCTGTCCTGGGCCACCGCCCCATGCTGTCATGGCCCCACAGTCCTGGCCCCACCTGCCCATCTTGCTTCTGGATGCTGCTCCCTGCATACCCACAGCCCCGTCCCATCCACCCAGTGCAGCACATACCAGAACAGAGCCACCTAGGGAGTTCTGGTGAATTGTTGCGGGGTAGGTGCTGACCCAGCCTGTGACAGCTCACCAAAACTGCCTACGTAGCTCTTGGGCCCAAATAATTGCCCACCCCTGTCATGAGCATTTAATCTGCCTGTCTGCCAAGCATTCCCCTCCACTGTAATATCATAGCTTGTTCTCCTAAAGCAGTCTGAAGGGAAGACTGACTGAAGCCTATTCCACAGTTAGCAGCCAAGGGATGGGGAAGCATGAAGTAAGCAATGGGTTTCCCCCACAAGGGTGTTTTTTTTTTAAATGTAGGTTTTAAAAATGAGGTACATAATGTCTAATCCACTGAGGCAATTGGGTAGACCAGCTGGTGGCTCATGGGGCCCTGCAGTCACCTCTCCCACTGCTGTGCATTGGGGAGTGCCCAGGAAGAGGCCAGGCGCTCCCAGTGCTGCCCACACAGGGGCAGAGAGGACTCTCAGGGGCCCTCCCGCACAGCATACGTGCAGCCCAGGGGAACATGGCCCCTGATCACAGTGAAGTTAAACAGACCTGAGAGACTCCAAATTGCAAATAGTTTGTAAGCCTAGTCTGCACTAGAAAGATTGTGGTGTTGTAGGAATAGTGGAGATGCAGTTTATAGTGGCAAGCATAGGCGACTGGTACAGGAGGCATGGGGAGGGCCTGACAGGGCTGTCCCTGCTGCTAACGCTGCTGGCAGTGTCAACAGGTGCTCAACGTCCCCCCCCTGACAGGGCTGTCCCTGCCACCGATGCCACCAGCAGCACCTGCAGGTGTTTGCCAGCTCAACCCCCACCGCCAATGCCACCATTGGCATCTGCAGGCGCCTCGCCAGACTCAGGAGGCACCAGTCGCCCATGGTGGCAAGAGCTCTTTTGTCAGTACAGCTTATGCTGTTTCCCCAGGCTATACTGGTAAAAGGTCTTTTATGCCAATACCCCTATGTCTACAATGGGGCCTTGACCAATATAAAAAGGGGGTAAAGACTCTTACTGGCAAGTTTTTATTGTAAAGATTTTGCTTTTTGCAGATGAATGCTGTGGTGTCTCAGAATCACTGCTTTTGAATTCCCACATTTGTAAAATGACTTCAGCTGCATCATCATATTATTTTAGGCACAGCTTACCTGCATTAGGGAC